AAATGACACCTGCTCCTCATTTTACATAATGCAAGATAGCAAAAGCACTCTCACTTCCTTTTTTTATTATTTAATCCAAGTAAATTAGAATTGGTATTACAAAAATGTCTTATAGGCCTGACAATGTTGACACCAGTTCTGAGTAAAGCCTCAAATAAAGCTAAATAAGATATACTAAAAAATAAATAAACTATTCCTCTTCGCCCACACAGAACACAGTACGTATCAGACCTCATAAATGTACACACACTGCATACACTATACACACACAAAGGATGCACACAATGCATCCCTTACACACACTGCATTCCTTACAGAGACAGACAGAGACTGCATACACTATACACATACTGCATCTACTATACACAAACACATTTCCTATCTGACACACACCCTGCACTCCCTCTGTACACAATGCATCCCCATCACACTGAATTCACTACATTCACATACACACAATTTATACTAATGACTCACAGTATATTCCCTAAACACATACACTACATTCCTAAACAGACACAACATCCCATATATACATACACTAACTGCATCCTCAATACATATACGCTGAAGTTTATTGTAATTTTGGTACAGATTGTTTTATTTTTTACCCCTAAATTTCTAGTTAAATATGTGAGTGCATTTTATATTCTGTTGCATCTCATAGTACAAAGGAAAATGTATGGTACATATTTGTATACCTCAATATGGTGCATATTAGTAGAAGTTTCATCTACTTTTTTATTATTAATTTTAATCACAGTTAAATGATCTCTACCAAAATGGTGTTCATTAAGCTATTGAGTTGTTACATAAATGTGATTTTGTTAAAAAAAATATATATCTTGCTGTACATGTAATCATCTACTGTGTACATATTTCTAAAAGGCGCTGAAATACTATTTATAAAACACATGAATGCTTTTTCTTGTAGGTGTGAAGATGATGTGGTTGATCCTCCCCCTTGTAATCCTGCTGATGAGAAACAATATGAAGAGCAATGCAAAATCATTTTATCAGGCAATGGTCCTTTCAAGGAATGTCACTTTTACATCCTCCCTCAGATATACTTTGAGAGCTGTGTCTATGATCAGTGTGCCACAGGAGGAGACCTAGAACAGTTCTGCAATGCCTTAGAGTCTTATGCTGCTGCCTGTGAGGGTGCTGGTGTTAACCTTGGAGACTGGAGAAAGGGCACTGTCTGCGGTAAGTTAAATGAGTAGATAGCTTGCTCTCTTTTCTATTAAGAACTTATAATAGTCACACAAATAGTTAAACCAGGCAGAGATGAATGTTAGAAATAAAACATTTAAAGTTTGACTATGTACCAAAGATACAGTTATCAGGGTGCCAACCAGTAAGCTTACTGTTAAAAGTCCAACTAATATAGAAAACGTGTGGCTCACCAGAATGCAGAAGCTGCTGACTGGTGAGCCATGCTTTTACTACACTACGTGCTTTTTTTATACTGGTGCAGAACTCCTATGTTTCAGGGTATCTACATTTGGAACTTATGTCATCAATTAGCTTGGATTCTAGAGAGATTGGTGATGGACATTAAATGTTAACTTTTATTTGATATGGATAAGCACATTACAATGGGTATTTCGTCAGATCTATTATTTATCCTACAACCCTATATTTCTTGTACTTTTTAAGTTGTCACTTCAATGTTTTTGTAATAACCTGCTATTTATTGTATAGTAGTTTTTTTTGTAAAGCTTTTTTTTTTAGCTATGTTGCTATTTGAATGTAACGACAGATCACAAAATGCATATTTAAATGAAATGACAAAACAACCACATTATCAAAATAATGTTTAAAGTTTTACTATAGACATCAAACACTAATTAAACATGCAGTTTGCGCTTTCTATGTGTATTCTTCCATCACCCCAACTTGTGATGTACACACAGAAAACATTTATCAATAAAGGCATTGCTCTCTCACATGTTCACTCACTAAAATAATTCTATTCTGATGTAATTTCAACCAACCCTCTCTTTGTTGTTATAAATGCTTTTGTATAATGAATAACATCCACAAATTATGCTATTACTTACAGATGCAAGCACTCCTACCACAGCATCTACACCTAGAACAACCACCCCAACCACTGTCACCACAGGTAAATAGTGCAGTTACGAGTTCAAATATTTTTTGTTAGTAGTAATAATAATCACTTGATTTATAATCTCCCATTCAAGTCTATTCCCATTGCTAAAAATGTTGTAATGTATAAAGTCCTTTTTTTTCTACACATTGATTTCTGGGTGACCCCTATAGACTAGAAGGTAGGCAACTTTCCATTCTCCAGATGCCATGTACTACGTGCCCCGTGATGCTTTGCCAGAATTATAGCTATAACAGCATTACAGGAGATGTAATCCACAAAATCTGTAATGCTGAAGATTATGTTCCCCTGCCTGGGATAAAAGCTATATGTTCAAAAATGAGGAAAAGCATTTCCCTGTCATACTGCTTTAGATTGTCAGTATCTATCTATCTATCTATCTATCTATCTATCTATCTATATCTATCTATATCTATCATGAATGCCCTGTAATCTTCATAAATGACAGTGAAATGTGCTTTTACAGTGCTGGGCAACTATAAGATTTAGTTAGGAAAATCCCCACATAAACTTTCCATAGCTATAATGAACTTGGGATGCTTACTCTTAATGCACCATGTGTCTAAGGCATAGTTATTATTACAGTGCAAAATGTATATTGAAAGTGATTTTGGCGCAAAAAACATATGAAACACTTGAAATTTCCCACTTCAGATAGTTTGACAAAACTTGTCTAAAGGGAGCCTCCAAGTTTTGTCATTTCCTACAGCCATCACTACTGATGTCTGTATGGGAAAATATATTGTCTATGAAGGATCCGTATATAGTATGTATTGGTGCAAGAAATGGAAAACTCTTTCATTTTGGTGGAACAAAAGCATAGTACAAATGATAGGATTTGTTATGGTTCAGAAAGTGAACAATTCCCTTCTTCTTGAAGGGTTTAAAGCAGTGATGGCTAACCTTGACACCATCAATTGTTTCCCATAGTCTAAAAGCTAGTTGAGCATCATGGGAAATGTAGTCCAGGAACAATTTATGGTGTCAAGGTTAGCCATCACTGGTTTAAAGAAATCAGGGAAAGCAAATAAAAAAACACAGAATCAGCAAACCATGCATCAGAAGAAAATAAACAGTAGATGGGAGGCATTGAAAATAGTAATGGGAAGAAACTCAACAGTTAGGCATGCGGGGTTCGAAAGCAATGTACATTTATAAGCAAGATGACGTTTAACTGTGTATAACCTGACAGTATATGCCACCAACCTTGTCTGAGCAACAGCAAGGTAATTTATGAATGGCCATAGAATAAATTGCAGGTCTGGATCCTTACAAACCATGACAGTACCACAAACCATTTATGGTTGTAAAAGACTGAGAGCTATTTCTTGGTCATCCTTTTTTTATATAATTTTAGCTAAGATCAAAAGTAGTAAATGTTACAGCTATATGCATACTATTGTAATGCTACCTATGTTTACAGTTTTCTTTTATTGATATTCATTAGTGTAGAATCATGCATTCCAAGTTCATTAACTGATTTTGCTTAATATATGCTTTTTTAGTATACCCTGACAAGTGTCAAATGTCCTGCTCATTTGATGTGGATCTTTGCTCTTGGAAACAGTCAACATCAGATAATATTGATTGGATACGTCACAGAGGACCAACTGCATCTAGCCTGACTGGACCCTCATTTGACCATACAACAGGAAGTAAGCAAATGTATTCAAGCAGATATCACATTTGTGATGTGCAAAAGCTTGTAAACAACAATATCTAAACAATATTGGGATGGGAAGCAAGTAGTTCTCACATGTTTTTGTAAAATGCATCAAACAAAGTATTCATAGTTCTCAAGAGTTTAAGAACAATAGATCAGTAGAGTGTCAATTGATTGTATATATCATGTATCTATAAGAATATATATTTGAAACATATAAGATCAATAGAGTATAATTTGGTTGTACAATATATTTTCTAACATAATATATCATGTATCTATAATTTGTACCATGACATGTATCAATGTGTATAAAGTAGTGGAAGTAAACTACTGACTTCTTTTTTTAAAGATGGTTTCTATATTCATATTGATGGCCGTAATTCAGCACCTGGAGATGTTGCTCAATTAGAAAGTCCTGAATGTGAACTAAATGGGCCTCACTGCTTACGTTTCTGGTACCATATGTTTGGTGTGGCAAGATCCATGGAACTGAGAGTCTACATTTTAGGAAATGCAGGTTTTCAGCTTGTCTCTTCACAGCAGGGCAACAAAGGTGACATTTGGCGTTTAGAAGAAGTCTCCCTGCCAAATACAGGTAGCATTCAGGTAAGTGTGTTGATGTTTTTTTATATATTTTAAAACCCTTAGAAATCATATGTGCATTTATGAAGTATTCTTTATGGTAATCCAGCTACTTTTTTGCTGGGGATAAAGGCCCTGGTGTCTAGTGGTTGGGAAATCCCATATTCCTTTCTTCTTCCTCTCTGTGTGGGATAGTTGCCGGCATATGAGCCCGCACCCACTACCTGCATGAGAGACGAAGCTCCTTACCTGCAACTTGCAGATAAATGAAAAGGAAATATACTGCCCACATTCTGCACAGCTTAGCTACAAATAGTAACAGATGGCATGAAGGGCTGTATGCAGGGCCGGTGCAAGGATTTTTGGGTACATAGGCGAAGATGCATTTTTCTGCCCCCGCCCCCCCCCCAAAAAAAAACATCTTCACCTATGTGCCTCTTAACCAGCCCCTCTCCCCACCCCGACCATTAGTGGTCCCCTCCCTTTGCTGTCCCTTAGTGTTCTTCTCCCCTCCCCCC